AAGGAAGGAAGGAAGGAAGGAAGGGAGGGAGGAAGGAAGGAAGGAAGGAAGAGCAAATTCCAGACCAAAGATACCAAAGCAAAATAAGTGGGGTCTGGGGGTCTGGAGTCCTGGACGAAGACCATAACGCCTGCAGAGTGGGATGGCAAAGTAGCCACACTGGTGGTGTTACTGACTGCCAGGTATGTTGATTCATGCTGCTTCTGTTCTTCATACCCTCTGTGCACTGCCGCCTCTACCTGAGGTCGCTCCTGCTCCTCTGTGGGGTCCGTTCTCAGTCATCCTTCAGGGTTCCAAAACCTCCTCCTCCTCCAGGCTTCTGTCGCCTGTGTGGGAGCCCTGATAGGGAAGGGCTGGGAGTGGGAGGCTCCAGTGAAAGTTCTGGAAGTGAGGTCAATCTCTGTGAGCCGGCTGCCATCTGGGACAGAGACGAGGGAGTGCAGCTGGAAAGTGGAACCCTGCTTTTCTGTTTATGAAGAAGGAGGTACCAGCTAACAACAGAGTCTCCACAGTTAGCCTAGGCTCCTGATCCACAGGCTCCTACGTGACTAGCAGCGGCTGGGTCTCAAGCACTCCCAATTCCAGTGAGCAAAGTGATCCTGCTGGAGACCTGAGACCACAGGCCACAGAGAGGAAGTCCATCTGGGCCGCCCAGCAGGCAGAGGAATTCCTGGAAGGAAGCTCACATCTCAGGAATCTGGTAAAGGGGAACATTGTTGAATCTCTGTCCCAGCAGCTGCTTGCTGCCAGGATCCAGGATCTGATAGCAGGAGGAATGGGTTACCATCTGGGCAGCCTGGCATTTGAACTGGGATATGGCCCAGTCACTAGCCCCCATCCTGTGGCAAGAGTGAGGCTCAGAGGGAGGCAGCCTGCAGGAGCTGCCTTACAGTTTCTCAGCTGTGGTTTTCTTTCCTATACCTTGAAATGAAAAGGCTTTATTGCCACATATAGGGGGCGGGGGTGGCAACCAGAGCACCCAAGTAAGGTTTCTAGCTGGGCACAGGACATTTTGAAGTCCAGAGGACAGGCTTCACAGGTGAAAGAAGCCAACCCTTCCCTTTCACGAATGTGTGTGTGCACGCGTGTGTGCATGCGTGCATGTGTGCGTGTGTGCATGAATGTGTGTATACATACATGTGCACTCACCCTCCAGTCTTTGGAACAGAGCCAGCAAGCCAGGCTTGAGTAGAAGGTTGAAGCACGGCTATAAAGTTCTCTCCGCTGACCCTTAGCATCCATGGGCTTAGATCGGAGAACCGCATGTATTAAATATTAACTGCCTTTTGCCCTAAAGCTGCCTGCTGCTGTCATGTCATGGGTACCAGGAGCAGGGAGCTCTGCTCTGCCTTCCAAACACAAAGATTCTTCTTAAAGACCTATGTGGTGGTCCCTGGGGCTGGAAGCTTTCTGAGTAGATGCAGCACCCACAGTAAAGTACAAGGGCCTGGTTTCTCCTAAATGCCTGGAGAAGGAAGAAATAATGATAAGGAGGTCGTAATTAGGACTGGCCCAGGTGGAGCAAACATTGGGAGCTCAAAGGGTCTGTGCTTGAAGGGCATGAGAGGTGTTAGGAGCTGGGCCTGGGAAGGACAGTTAGGGACTTTAGCCAAGGGCAGGGCATGCTTTGAATCCTGGGATCTCCTTTGGTTCGGGCAGAGTCATGGTGAGTGCTAGATTGATAGTATGGTGGGCAGGATTCCCATGATTGACAGCCCACTGGATACACACGAGATGGTAGGACTGGAGGAGAGGGTCTCCCAGAGAAGGGCCCGAGGGAAACCTACAGGAAGGCTTGACAAGAAGACACACTCAGAGACCCACCAGAGAAGCTAGGAACCTCTGAGGTGAGTGGGTGGGCCCACTAGAGAAGAGCAGGGGGAGAAAGAAGGGTGGACACTCAGCAGGTGAAGGGTGGGCACTCAGCAGGTCCATTGTCCCTGCCCACAAGACCAACTTTCTATGGTGACTGAATCAAACTTCTAATGTGGAGCATTTGCTGTCCCCTGGGTAGACTGGAGTTGTACAAGGGTGGGGACTGTGACAGATGAGGACTGAATCAGGACCCAAAGCAGAGGTGGAGATGTAAGAAGAAGGTGCCCTCATCACTTCAGGGGGAGTGATGGGGTGGGAGGGGGCGGGGGGACTGACTGCAGCTGTGATCCTAAGTGACAGCGTAGCTGGGGAAAATGGAGGGTGAGATAAAAACAAGAATCTTGTCACACATACCCTAACAGACACAAGATGCATCCTCTGAGAGCAGGGAAAACTGCTGACTGGGCGGACACTTTGCTGGCACACATACACACACTACACACACATACACACTACACACACCCTACACACATATACACACCACACACATACCACACACAAACACACACTACACAACCCTACACACACATATACACCATACACACCACACACACACACACCACACACATGCACACACCTCTACTCCTGACCTCAGATAAAGACCTCCTCACCACGGAGGCAGAATTGGTGGTCTCTGGTCAAATCTGAGGTCCCAGTCTGAGGACCTAGGTTCTGCCTTCACCCTCAGTTCCACATGACCATTGGGGACACCCGCTAGGAAAAGTGGCGACTTTAAAGATCTGGAATAGGGCCGCCCTCCGTGGGGTCTAGACTCTGGGCAGCAGATGCCAATGCCCAATCCCAGGGTGGGCAGCTGATGAAGTGGGAGCAGCAGAAGGCCTAGGAGGGTCTGGAATTCTCTTCCCACCCTGCTCCTCCCACTCTGCCTTCTCCCATTCCACCCCCTGGGCTGCCCTCCGAGCAGGGGAGGCGCCCGTGGTGCTGCGAGAAGCTGGGAGGGGCCGGGGACGCGGGCCGGGGCTGGGCCCCTCGGCTGAGCTCCGCGCAGGCAGGCCCCGCCCTGGCTCACACATCTGGGCGGTGAGCGCGGCCATCCGGCCTGGGGGAGGGTGCAGGGACGGGCCTGGCGCACGTCGAGGGCCACAGTAGACTGCCGCGGGCTTTGAGTTAGTATCCAGGCGGCCAGACCTGGTGGAGCTGTCCGCAAGGCGGAGGTGAGCCGGGGAAGGGCCTCTGGGCTTCCCAGGGAGGTGCAGAGGCTGCTGTCTGGGACTGTAAACCCACGAAGTCACGGGCTAGGTGGAAGCAAATCTGCAAGCTCCTTGAGGAGGCGGGCCCGCTGGCCCAGGCTTGGGGAGGCAACTGAGCTTCGGTTCCTACCTGTGGCTGTAGGACCCCACCAGAGACTTGCTTGGTTTGGAACGACCTGGTGCATGGGGAGGCGGGCTGGGGGCTGGAGGAGAGCCACTGTGAACGGGGGCCTGCTCACTTAGCCAGTTGTGGGGACCTGCTTCCTGGGTTAGAGTTGAGATGGGGGTTGAATATCTGTGTGTCAAGAAGTGCCTCACGAGGCTCCAGTCATTGAGATCCAAACTTGTGGGAGAGCATCTGGGTGGCCAGGGTGTCTGTATGCCAGAGACCTTAGGCTGCTCTCAAAGAGGCACGGGTGGTGATCCAATTGGGTGGGGTCCGGGCTTCTCCGAGGTTGGAGGAGCTAGCTAGCTATGGAGTAAGTCTGACCCGTGGAGAAAGGGGAAGGCAGGAACTCAGGCTGCTGTGAGCAGATGGAGCCAGGGAAAGTGAAAAACTTCACCGGAGACAGTGGGCAGGGTACGGTTTTAGGTTTCGGTGGGACAGAGATTGTAAATTAATTATTCCCATGATGAGTACCTAAAGGGGTGGCACATCTGTGGAAAGCAAAGCTGGGGCAGAGACCAGGACGTCAGTGGCCATGGCCATCACCCCTAGCCATTCCAGGAGAAAGCCGCCTCCTTATTCCACAGCCTTTTCCTGGTCCCCTCTCCTTGAAGTCATCTCACCAGTATAGGGTGGGGCAGCCCTTTGGGTGCCGTTTCTGACCAGACCATGGGCCCCGGTTGAGTGGCCCAGAAAAGTTTGGAAGAAATGTCTGTAGCCCCAGCCTGCTGACAGTCCTGTTGAAGCTCATGGCTCCCCACCTAACCACCCCCACCCAAGAAGAGAATTGTGTCCATCAGACAAAAAAAAAAAAAAAAATCGAGGTCATTGTGAGATCTGGGGAATTCTCTGAGTTTCCACTCGGCACACCCTGTCCTGGTCCCCCGTGACTGACAGATCATACCTATTAGACAACAATCGGGACTATCAGCCAGGATGAGCTTGAAGAGTGTGAGCCATGAGGCTGAGAGCCAGGAGTCAGCCACAGGTAGGGTTAAGGGGCTGTCTACAGATAGTGTAGCGATTGCTTTAGGGCCTGGATTTGGCATGCAGTTTCCAGACGGAAATTCAGACATTACCACCCCGTAACTGGAAGTCCCTGGGATGGGGGTCTGCATCCATCTGTCTCCATCTCTGCACTCTGCCGGGCCCTAGCTGTTGGGAACTGACTTATCCCAAACTCCTTAGTCAGCATTCTCCTCAAATGTTCTTTAGGTACACATGCACAGCATGGTGGGAAGGTCTGGAAGACACATCGGCCACCTGTATGTCCCTGCACAGCTGCTGACCCCTTTGCTCCATCTCTTAGGAGTCTGTGGAGACTCCGTCATCATGGCTTGTTTCAGTTCCTATCACCTTCAGAAAGAACTCAGGATAGGTACAATGACATTCTCAGTAAGACCCAGGACTGAAGTCAAACCCACGTGGAGAAGCAAAGAGCCCTGTCCACACACACCCAGCTCCCTGCTTTTCCCAGCACTTTCCACAACCGGACTTGGTCCTCACAAGCCCAGGATCACCCATTTCACTGAGGTACAGAGAGGTGACACCCTCTTCTACAGTACCATAGTGGGCCTAGGGGGAGGTAGAAGCATCTGCTTGTGGCATGGGACTAAGCCTTAGAGCGACAACTCAAGTCTTTTTCTCTTGGAAGTTCAAGGTTATTTTCTGCCATCCAACAAGCTTGGCCCAGAAAATCCATCCATCCATCCATTCATTCATTCATCCATCCAAGTGGTTCTAGCACTAACTCAAGCCTATGGCAGAGAAATGCTCACTATGTATTGTAGTGGGCTTCGATACAGTGGCATGCCAGTAGGTACAGCCAGTTCTCTAAGAAAGAGAAAAGCCTGATTTGTAGTTTTTGCCCATTTCTGCAGTGTAAATACTCCTAGGCACGGCTGTTTTCAGGCTAACATCGCTATGTGCATGGACGTAGAGTTAAGAGACAGTGTCCGCTCTGTAGAGTTTACCCCTTTTTCTCTGAGCTAGGCTTCTATCCTGATTCCCAGGGTTCTTAGTGGTTCTCTCTATTTGCTTTGCCCTTTTTCAACGTTATCCCTAGTTTCAGCCAGCCCTCATCCTTTCCCAATTCTGATACCTGCTACAGCCAACTGTGTCTCTCCAGTGTTGTGGAAGCAAGACCCTATGTGTCTAGAAATCTCCATGATGCTGGCCACACGGGGGAACCCTGGATGTCCAAGAGCCTGGCTATCTTTCCCTGATGCTGGGTATGTTCGGATGGTGGTGAGCAAGGGAGTATCCTTGTGTATGGGCGTGCCGCTGCCCGGATCTGTGTCTGCTTGTGTTCTGTTAGCAAAACTTCCTGGTCAGGCTACAGAGAGGGGCAGCCTCCACCTTTGTTTAAAGGGGCAGCCAGGCTCATAGGTAAGAGCAGTAGCACCCATGCTTTATAGACCATGGAGCAGCGAAAACACTTGAATATCACTTAATCTGTAAGGAGAATCTGAATTACCTTGGGAATCTCATAAAATACAAGCTCTGGCCGGGTGGTAGTGGCACACACCTTTAATCCCAGAACTTGGGAGGCAGAGGTGAGAGGATCTCTAAATCTGAGACGAACCTGATCGTGACCTACAGAGAGAGTTCCAGGACAGCCAGGTCTACATAGAGAAACCTTGTCTCAGAAAAGACAAAGAAAAAGAAAGAGACGAGGAGAAAAGTTCTGAGCAGGTCAAGGTGGAATGCTTCTTGGGGTGTAGTTATGCCGGGACTGCTCTACCGAGGCAACACGTTAAGTAACAAAACTATCAACGAGTTGGAGGCATTTACTTAGATCTTGGACCCCAGAACCTCACAGAGTCAAGCTCAAATACTTCCCATGTTAGGATCAAAAATATAAATAACCTTGGTTTTAACAGGCAATAAATATCCTTGGAACAGTAAATAACGTGGAGCCGCAAGCTGGCTCGTCGGTAAAGGTGCATGCCGTGCAAACCTGTTGACTTGGGGACTCCTAGGACCCACATAAATGTGGAAGGGGAGAAGCGACTCCCAGAAGTTGTCCTCTGACAGCCACACGTGCGCCACTGATGCGTGTGCCTCCGTATTCAACTTCTCCCCACTTGTCAAATAATAATTAGAAATTTAGAACTTGTTTAAAAATGAAAACACATGAACACATAACCTTCCTTGCCTCCCTCCAGGCACTTGTCTCTACCCTTCTCAGCCAAGCTTCTTTTGCTCAGCTTTACCTGGGTTTATCCGCCTTGGGCCAATGGAACAAGTATTTGCTATCTTAAGGACTTCTTTAAAATTCTTTTTAAATTGTATTTGTATATGTGTTTTACCTGCATGCCTGTCTGCGCACCACATGTGCGCCTAAGGCCCACAGAGGTCTGAAGAGGGCTTGGATCCTCTGGAACTGGAGTTGAAGATGGTTGTGAGCCACAGCCACTGGGTAGGTGTTGGGAACAGAACCCAGGTCCTTGCAGGAATAACAATGTTCTTAACTGTTGAGCCATCTCTCCAGTCCCTTTCTTCAAGGACGTCTCAAAACCACCTAGCTTCACCCTCCTCACTTGCTGGGGGTGTCCTGGAACCCCAGGAGGGTCCTTGGTCAGCCTGCTTCCACCTGCCTGGCCTTTAAATGTCCTTCTCCCTCCCTCCCGTCCCTTTCTACTTCTGCCTAGACTCCCGTGGACAATGAATTTCTCATGTATTGTATACTTCCTGCTCAGGGGCTTCTCCTACTCCAGACTACTTGTCTGATCACTAGCTCTGTTTTGTGACCTGAGTATGAAACTGCATCCGCACTCTGCCCGTCCCGGCTGTCAGCCTGCCCTGCCCGCTGTCTTCCTTCCATCCCCCAGCTTAAGTCAGAAGTTTCCTCCCGAGGCCCACTTAACAGGTCTGATCAGCTCTGCGGATTCACGCTGCTGCCTCCGAAATGGCCCCACTGTGTCTGAGGTGCACAGCTCACCGCCATCTGTAGCCTGGACGCCTAGAGCTGCCCAGCTGACTTCCCGCTTCCATGTTGCTTTCTGACTGTTCCCTCTCTCATGCACAGCAGCATCAGAGTGCAGATGTGGTGATGCGCCACACCCTCCCCCTGCAGCTTCCAAACTTGTGAGGTTTTCCGTTGCCCTTCACATAAAACGGAGTCTAAAGGAGGGTCCGGCCCAGCTCTTCTCTCCCACACCGACATCATCTTCACGTCCTTAATATGCTTGGCATTCGCAAGGCTACTTTCATAATTACTGGGTCACAATCACTCAAATCCCCAGAAAAGGTGCGGATCACTATTTCCTAAACCACGACTAGTGATCCCATTACGAGGACACCTGACTAAACAGGTAAGATGAAAATTTGGCAACAATAAGTTTGCTGAATGTTCAATGACCAAAAATTACATCAGAATCAAAATGTGAATAAATCTGTTTCTGGCAGTGCTAGTCCATGTTGCACTGTGTGGCCCACAACAACCTTGGTTCTGAGCTCACACAACATGCTTGCTTTGCACTGTGCACGCCGGTCGACCACGAAATAGCTACAGAAGCTGACCGAAACACCTCAGTTCAGATTTGAGACTATTCTGTGTTAGGAATTGCCTGTTTTACTGTGCATGCCAAACTATGTAACTCTTATATGACTCCTTATGGAAACATACTGGTTTAATTACAGAAAACACGGACTTATACCATTCCCAGCATTCCTCGGCATATAAAATCATTGGATTGTATTATGCTAGAAAGTTTTTTAGTGGGGTTTTTGTTGCTTTTGTTTTTAAGAATGTTTGAATTTTAATCAGATATGGTGGCACATACCTTTACTCCCAGCACTACAGAGGCAGAGACAGGCCTCTGTCTGTGTGTTCAAGGCCAAGCCTGGTCTATAGAGCTAGTTCCAAGAACACCAGGGTGGTTACACAGAGAAACCCTATCTTGAAAAAACAACCAACCAAACAAACAAGAATGTTTGATTTTTATGAATTTTAATTTTTTATTTATTTTGTGTATGAATGTTTTACCTGCATGTATGTCTGTGTACCATTTTCATGCCTGGTGCCTCCAAAGGCTAGAATAGATCATTGAATCCCTTGGAAATGGAGTTCCAGATGGCTGTGAACTGCCATGTGGTGCTGGGAATTGAACCCTGCTCCTCTGGAAGAGAGCTTTTAATCACCAGGTCATCTCTTCAGCCATGAGGGTGTTTGATTTTAAAGACTGCTGTTTGAATAATCAATGAATATTGACTTGAGATTAAAACAGAATTTCCTGAAATTTCTGAAATTTCAGAGGCCCTAGACTTGCCTCTGTCATTTTGTACTGTGTGCTTATGTGAAGCAGCATCCTCAGCTCGACCATTATAAAATCAAAATATCTGTCAATTCTGGCATATGTTGACGATGCTTCACATTCTGTAACATCAAATATTCAGCCAATATTTATTTATTTTTTGGTTTTCTTGAAGCAGGGTCACGAGTATCCCAAACTACCCTTCCACTTGATGATGTAGCCAAGGTTGACCTTGAATTCCTAATCCTGCTGTCTCCCCTCCCCAGTGCTGAAAGTAGAGACATGAGTCACCACAAGACTTCATTTTTTATGTAAAGCAGAAGTAAGCACATCTATCTCATTACTATTCAAATTTCTTCTATCTTTAGTAAGTGGGAGTATATATCAAAGAATTGTTTTCAAAATAAAGTTCTATATGACTTATTATAAATAAAAATTTTATTTATATTCCTATTTTATGTAATTATATACCCTGGATTGCAAGGAAATTTCTTTTCTTTCTTTTTTGGGGGTTTTTTTTGTTGTTGTTGTTTTTTGAGACAGGGTTTCTCTGGATCTTTGGAGCCTATTCTGGAACTAGCTCTTGTAGACCAGGCTGGCCTCGAACTCACCGAGATCCACCTGCCTCTGCTTCCCGAGTGCTGGGATTAAAGGCGTGTGCCACCACCGCCCAGCGCATGGAAATTTCTTACATAAAATAAGGTCTCAAGTGAAACAGTCTCGAGGGGAAAGGTTAAGGATCAGCTGTGAGGGGCCCTGGCTGCTCCTCCAGAGGACCTGCGCTCCCAGCACCCACTTAGCGGCTCACAGCTATCTGTAACTCCAGATCCAAGCGATCCATCACCCTCCCTAGACACTAGATACACACATTATACGGGCATACATACAGGCAAAGCAATCTCATAAGCAGCACCTGGCACAAAACAAGCACCAGAAAATACGTAGGAGGGTCATGGTTCCTACAGAGCAAAGGGCATTTCTGAGCAAGCCAGGCCTATGGAGACTAAACTCTAGATGAGATGAAGGGTCTGGTCAGACATGCTAACAGAATTTGTGATGCTGGTTTTCAAAGTGTGACATCTTTATCTCCCAGAGACACACTGAGGAGTTTGTAAGTGAAATACTATGATGTCAGGGATTAGCACTAAGTGTCTCTGGCTCAGAGTAAAAAAATAGCACAGGTAGCATTCAGGGAAAGAGCGAAGAACAAGTAAGTCTCATTTTTTGCTTGTCTGTTCTTGTTTTCAGCTCCAGAGATTGCAAGGATGCTGACTGTTCCGGAAATGGGCCTGCAAGGGCTGTATATCAGTAAGACCCCTACTGCCCTCCCTGCCCACCACCCCACTTGCCCTTGCCTTGGCATGAGACTGCTAGCCACTGCCCACAATTGCCTCTCAGCGCAAGTTCTTGAGAACCATTCTGTAAATTCTACACTGTGTGTGTGTGTGTGTGTGTGTGTGTGTGTGTGTGTGTGTACAGTGTGCACACCTGTGCATGTGTGCGCAGGGATGGTCTGTATACAGGAAGTATCTGTTCAGAGACCCCTGTGTGTGCGCATATGTTTGTCTGTGTGCAAAGGACTTGCGTGTGCTTTGTGCACCTACGCACATGTGCACCCTTTGTGAGGTGCGGATGGATCCCTGTGCGGAGGACCTTGGGTTGGAGTGGTCTGCGGGTAGGCCTGTGTGTACTGAAGTCAGCACATCTGCTTTCCTCTGAGTGTAGGCTCTGTGCTCTCTGCAGGGTGGGAGGCCAGCAGGCAGGAGGGACACTCCTCAGGAAGTCCATTCACAAAGACCTGGTGGGCTGGGCCCTTCCTTCCTGCCTCCCTTCCCAGGCTCAGGCACAGCAACTGCCTTTCACATTAGAGCTGATAGCAGGGCCTGGGCCATGCTGGATGCCCAGGGAAGGGGATCTTGAACTTTAGCTACCCCAACCCTATACTTCTGTTACCCAGGCACACTTCAACTATGCCCAGGCCCTTCTTACAGACCCTCACGTAATACCTGGGTTATCCTGGGGCCACTGTCAAGGGTCACAGACAAGCTGAGGGAGCACAGCCAGCCCTGGCCCAGAGTACAGCCATTCAGACCTGCTGACATCACCCTTAGCAAACAGTGTGATGAGGATAGTCACCTCCTTGCCACCTTTGAGTGTCCGGCCAGGCTGGCCTTCCTGTCCCACAGGTGTCTAATTCAAGCCATACCTGGGGCCCTCCTGGAGGTTGCCCTGTTTCTAAGACCCTAAAGTCCAGTCCAGGCCTGGCCCTTCTGCCCCCCAATGCTAACTTGAGTGTCTGCATGTGTGCTGAGGGCGTCCCCAGACACAGAGCTGGGCTGGGGGTAGGTGCCGCCTTCCCCTTCTGGTCCTATGTGCCCACTGGGAACAGGAAACTCCCTCAAGTCCTGATTAGAACCATGTGGCCAACTTTAATAGCAGAGGAGCAGCCTGCCTCTAGGCCGTATGTCCCACCTCACAGTCACTTACATCTGAAGGCCCCTCCGGCCCTGCCACAGGAGCCGATCTGCCCATAGCTCCTGCCTACCCATCTCTAGACTGCCTTTCTACTACTACAAAATCTTTCTGTGTCTCCTTCTGTCCTCCCGTGTGTGCTTAAAGGGGACTTGGGAAACTGTGCCTAGATGATACACACATGACACCACCCAGGGAGACAGGCGAATCTGATTGGTCCAGGCAGGTGCTTAGACCCCTAACCCTGCAACAGGCATGTCCTTCCTACTCCCTCCTGTCTCCCTTCCCCACAAATGACCCTTTGCCTCAGCCAGGCTCAGCGAGAACAGATAGAGCCCTTGTGCGAGGTAAGATCCCACTTCCCAGATCGTTTCAAGGTGACTTGGTCTTTCTCCTCTACAGGCTCTAGCCCAGAGAGATCCCCAGTACCCAGCCCACCCGGCTCCCCGAGGACCCAGGAGAGCTGTGGCATTGCCCCCCTCACCCCTTCACAGTCCCCAGTAAGCAAGCCCTGGTGGGGAATTTGGGTGGTAGGTGGCCTGGGTGGTGTGAAGGAGGGAGGTCCCTGGGGCAGGGACTGGACTGAAGAAAGGTACAGAGGCATGCCACCAGGCCTGGCACACTAGTCACGTGACCCCGTGGCCTTGGACTGTGGGCCACAACAACTCTACTGAAAACATAAGCGCCAGGTAACTCTACCTACCTCTCTCTATAGAAGGATGACTCCCAGAAGACACTGTGGCTGACCTGTTTAGGCAGGCATGTGACTTTTCCAGGCTCTCAGAGCACTCTTCCTGCCGACCAGAGCCCTAACACACTCTAAGCTCCACCTCAGGAAGAAGTATATTGTTTTAAAATATCTAGAAACTGCACAGTTGAAGTTTCCAAGGCAAAGCCTCTGACCCCGCGGCTTTCCTGGGTTACCTACTCTCTATGGCTTTGTCCTGGTCATCCTGCTTGGGAGAAGTAGGGGCAATTCTGTACATGGACTGGGGTCCCTCCTCTCTTAAAAACCAGAGTCTGGATCGTATTGCAAAAGCAAGAGATAAAGTGTGCACATCCACGTATTAGAAAACAGCCGAGAAAAGCCAGATTGCTCCCAGCTGGGGCAAGGCTGGTAGCAGGCTGTGAAAATGACGTGAGATGGCGCTGGGCTGAGGGAGTCTGGGAAGCAGGCAGGTGAACAGGAAGCTAGATAACAGTCATTTCAGCCCCCAAAGTGCCATGGCTACCTAAGAGGTGTTAGACTGCCCAAGCAGGGGGCATGGTCCCACCCTGGAGGGGAGGCTATAAAACTAGGAAGGTGGGCCAATGGAACTGGGACAAAGCCACTTTGGGCCACAGGCAGTGAATGGGACGAGATCCTCTTAGTTGTTGGCTGACGTTAGGTCTTGAACTTGCAGAAGCCGGAGTCCCGAGCTCCACAGCAGGCCTCCTTCTCTGTGGTCGTAGCCATCGACTTCGGGACCACATCCAGTGGCTATGCCTTCAGCTTTTCCAGTGACCCTGAGGCCATCCACATGATGAGGTGAGGGCAGCTGGACTGGGAGACTAGGCTGGGGAGGTACCTCAAACTCTGGTAAAGACCTAGCCTTAGAAATAATCACGGGGCCGGGTCTTATCCGAGCCCCTTGCATCTCTAGGACTCCTCGCTGGGACGGGAGGTTGGAGAATGGACTTCAGGTCCAAGCTTCAGCCTTATTTGGAGTCCTCCTACCCACTACAGGAATGCTGGGCTTCATTTATTTATTTGTTTATCCATGTATTTATTTGCAGTGCTGAACATCAGCCCCAGGGCCACAAGCCCACAAGTGTCCTTGGGTTAGATCCCCAAACCAGGGCTTTATTTAGGGGATGTATGTTTTAATGTTTTTAAATGCGAGTGCATGCATGCATGCACGTGTGTTTTTGTGCATAGTGAATGCATATTAAGGCCTCTATCACTCCCTACAGGACCTCTCACTGGACCCAGAGCACAGGGATTGGCTAGCCTAGCTGACCATGGAGCTCTGGAGATGCACTCATCCCTACTCCCCACCCCATCCACCCAGTGACAGGGTTAGTGAGGAGGTTATAGATGCCACCATACCCAGCCTAAGCTCTAAAAATAACAAAAAGGAAGAGAGGAAGATAAGGAGAGAGGGAAGGAGGAAACAAAGGAAGGAATCAGAAAAGACCTTGAAGTAATTTGGCCTTGGAAAACAACCTTGAGAAGTTCAGTGACTTGGCCAGAAACACTTCTGCTAGGGTCCCAGGGAAACATCAGAAGGTCAGACACAGGCCATGGAATAATAGCTTACTGCTGCTCACAATAATACAGAGGCGAGGTTAAATGGGACACCCTACCCAGAGGTCTCTCAGGGCCTCTGGATAGAGAGGATCCCCAGGGGAGCATTTATAGAGGGATGTAAATTGGCACCACTTCGTTTTCATGAACCCCTAAGAGATATGCACTATTATTATCCTGGGGGGTGAGGGTGAGGGCGGTGTTTGCGAGATGGCCTCACTCCGTAGATCAGGCTGGCCATCATCCCACCTCAGCCTCCTGACTGCTGGGATTGCAGTCACCACTCCCAGCTCCATTATTTTCATTTACAGATGGCGGAGGTGGAAGCTCAGGGAAGCTGTGTCCTGCTCAGGGTCACATGGCAGGCCCCTGAGCCAGCACCCAACTGTAGGAATGTTGCCTCTGGCTCCCCTGACTGCCTTTGTCTTCGCAGGAAATGGGAGGGGGGAGACCCAGGCGTGGCCCACCAGAAGACCCCGACTTGTCTGCTGCTGACCCCAGAGGGTGTCTTTCACAGTTTTGGTTACACTGCCCGTGACTACTACCACGACCTAGACCCGGAGGAGGCTCGGGACTGGCTCTACTTTGAGAAGTTTAAGATGAAGATCCACAGTGCAACTGTGAGCCAATGCAGCCAGGCTCCTGCCTAGGAGGTGTTAGTGAGAGCAGGGCACAGCCAAGAGACCAGAGGAGTGGCCTGACTAGGGGCCGAAGGGTGGGCAAGAGGATTGGGGGGGCAGAACTAGAGAATGGCGGAGCTGGGGCAAAGCTGATGTGAGACGAATAGAAGAGAAAGAGAAGCAACGGGAGATGGGTGGTTATACCGAGGAACTCCTCAGGAAACAGGGCAGAGCTATGGCCTCCTGCAGAGCGGCCCTGTGTCTCTGCCAGGATCTTACCTTGAAGACAGAGCTAGAGGCCGTGAATGGGAAGAAGATGCTGGCCCTGGAGGTGTTCGCCCATGCCCTCCGCTTCTTCAAGGAGCACGCTCTTCAGGTGTGCTGCTCTTCCCAACCCCACGGACAGGGGCGGGGACACCCTATCCCTTCTGTTCCCTTCCCCTCCCCTAATCCCACCCTGAGTCCAGATGACGGGTGGTCACTGCCAAATCATGGGCCATCTCCAGTTCCCTGTCCTGTCAGAGTCTGCCCTTGGACCAGCCAGGTGAAGATCAAACCTTCTCACTCCAGCAACAGATCTTCCCAAGCTGAGCTCCCGGAGGGGTCTGAAAATGCTTCAGGCCAGCTCTCGCCTCACTGTCCCCCCCCCTCCACTGCAGGAGTTGAGAGAGCAGAGCCCCTGCATGCTCGAGAAGGACACTGTGCGCTGGGTGCTGACAGTGCCTGCCATCTGGAAACAGCCAGCTAAGCAGTTCATGAGGGAGGCTGCCTACCTGGTGAGGATGTGCAGGTGGAACTGAGGTAGCCCACACCTCATCCCTCCTTCAACCCCGAGGACCACAAAATCGTTATGGGAAAGTGTTGTCCCTAGGAAAGGGAGTGAGCCCTCAGGAACAAGGGCAACTGGGCAGAGGCATGGACCATCACAGAGTCCTGTTAAGTCCCTGAGGAACAGAGCCCAAGACAGGGAGTGTTGTGTATATAGTCTGTTGAAGACAGGCTCTTAGGACCAAGGGGGTGGAGGAATCAGGACCGGAGAGTGATGCACAAGGAAGGATGGTGTCTTGCCGGAGTCTAGCTTCAACCCCATTCTACAGGAAGCCCCAGAGGGAGGCTTGTGGCACTGGATTGGTCACAGTGAAGCAACGGTCCATCGCTGCCTGCTGTTGCTTGCTGGTGGGATAGAAGGGGTGCTTGTCCGTGTGGGGTGGGACCAAAGTCTAAAGCAGGAGCTGTACAGCAGGAGCAGCAGGCAGGCACCAGGGGAGCCACTCTGGCCCTCCGCAGTACTTTTGTACACCCCCATTCCTGCCCCAGGCATTGTAGGGTCTTCCCAAAGGAAAAGGACTATTTAGCTACAAAGGGAGGTGATTCTGGCCCAAGTGTGATGTCTTCCTACCACAGAGAATGAGGGGTTCAGACACTACCCTCTCCAATGGGGACAGAGAGGCCTCACAGAGCAAGATGGGTTGCTTGGCTCTGCCCCTGGGGCCTTGAGGAACAGACCCTAGGACATCCAAAAGGTATCTCAAGCCTGCCTTCTGTCCCCTTGAAGATACCTCTACCTGTGGGTCAGATGACAGGACTATGGGTGCCTATGCTTGTCCCTATGGGGGTTGACTGAGCACAGTGAGCCACTCTGCGGGAATCAGATGTCCCCAGACAGAACAAACATGCCTGTCCTGCCCTGCTTTCTCCCACATTGCTCCCGGATGCCAGCTCAGAAAGGGCTGGCCCAGGGCAGGAAGCCTCTATTCCTACCTGTCTCCCTCTTAACTTGGTCAGAATGCATGGAATCCCATGAACTCTAAACTCCCTGGAGAGAGCCTTTGTCCTGCTGCAGGAAATGACAGATCTTGAATGTTTCTCCTGTACCCCCACTGGCCTGTCATGATGCCTGGAATTTCACTATTTCCTTCCTGCTATAGCAGATTCTTTGGGAACAAAGTTCTCCTGGGAGTGAGGCAACCTATGGCCAATATCTGACACCAGCCTGGTGAGCCGGGCATTGCCCCTACCATCCCCTCCAGTGCACGGCACTCACCCCCCACTGTGCTGGAATCCCCCAGCAACACCACCGCCAGCACTTAGCCCCTACCACCCCCTCCAGTCCACCGCACCTCCCCCTGCCCCACTGTGCTGGAATCCCCCCTCCCCCCCCCCCACACACACACAACACCACAGCCAGCACGGCATTCCCTGGGGATGGAAAACTTGCTGCAGTCATGCCATTTCTTTCTGCTCCGTAAGCCTTTGGCTCCTTGGCCCCGGCCCTCCCTAGCCTGACCTCAAGGTGGCTGTGAGGCAGCTTCAACTGTGTGTAGCATGAAGGGGCCCGACAGGCCTGGCCTGGATGGTGTGATGGGAGAAGAGTTGGGAATACCCAGGCCCCAGAGTGCCATCTTACGTGACGGCCTATGGTGCTGCCTGGTGCGGGCCACCACTATATCCCCAGGCTGGCCTGGTGTCTCGAGAGAATGCAGAGAAACTCCTCATTGCTCTGGAGCCTGAGGCTGCCTCTGTCTACTGCCGAAAACTTCGCCTGCACCAGCTCATGGACCTGAGTAGCCGGACTGTAGGCGGTGGGCGCCTGGGTGAGCGCAGGTCCATTGACTCCAGCTTTCGACACGGTAAGCTGCCCCAGGGTTGCTGCCTGATACAGGGTTTGATGGAGTGCCCTTGGAAGGTTAGCTTTGTCTAGGATGGAAAAGGGGAAGTCACCATCCTGAGGGAACCCAAGATCCCTGGTGGAGTTCACTGTGAGGGGGACACAGCCCTGGCTCTAGGACCCCAGGTTGAAGACAATCTCATCTTGACCAGGGAAGCAGAGTCTGAGGGTCAGGGAGACACAGACTGCCTCAGGGCAGGTGCTCAATGGACACTAACAAGGGAGCAAGCTGGGCCCCAGCCTCCTCTTCAGAGGCTTTTCCTTAAATGGCCAATCTATCAACTGTTATCCCACATCAACCCTGCCCCTTAGCAACCAAAGCTCTTGCAGCCAGACCCAGGCACTGAGCCCAAGGACAACTGTAGTCAGTTTTGGATATCCTCCTTAGTGTGCTCACCCCGGCAGGGAGAGGTCCCAAAGTCCTGAGCTTCCCTGGGACACTTGGAAACACCTCCCACCTAAATCCTTCAAGGCCTCTTGGGCCTGATTGAGCCAGGACCTGCTCACTCTGGTGCAAGAACAAGTTTTGTATCCAGAAATGCTTTTAGCTGCTTCTAGAGCCTGGGATTAGAATCCCTGTTGCCACAGGGCTCTGGACAGCCTTGGTAAAGAGAAGGGTTGAGAGCGGTAGCTCCTAACCTTAACTTTCCACTCCAGCCCGGGAGCAGCTGCGGAGGTCCCGCCACAGCCGAACGTTCCTGGTGGAGTCTGGTGTAGGAGAACTGTGGGCAGAGATGCAAGAAGGTGAGGAGGTGACAGGGCATGAAGGAACATCTCAGCTCACAGAGAATCTGTAGGAATGGGGGAGGGCTCCATCTGTAAAGCCTACATCCTCCTGCAGTCACCTATACCCCATCCTGCTTACAGTCACATCCCAACTCATTCCGCCAGGAAATTCTGTTCCATGTTCAAGCCTCAAATCATCCCTCTTCCACACGTAGCATCCTTATTTGGTAGCCTGAAATGAAGCCCTTCATCTCTGCCCCCCCCCCTTCCATAAACCAAGGTTTGGTACCTGGAGCAGGGCTGGAGGTGAGGTGGGCGATGCAAGACGGAAGGTGAGAGACAGGCCTTTCATGTTACCTGTATTGGCCCGTGCAGGAGACCGCTACATGGTGGCAGACTGTGGAGGTGGTACTGTGGACCTGACCGTACACCAGCTGGAGCAGCCTCATGGCACTCTCAAGGAGCTCTACAAGGCTTCTGGCGAGTATACCCACGAGGAGCCTTGTCACCAAGCTCTCACGGGGCCTTCCATCGTCCCCTGGTGGCCGATCTGGCAATAACACCCGCTCTGTCTCCTACCCTGCTGTAGGCGGCCCTTATGGCGCAGTAGGGGTGGACCTGGCCTTTGAGCAGCTGCTCTGCCGCATATTCGGAGAGGACTTCATCGCCAAATTCAAAAGGCAACGGCCAGCAGCCTGGGTGGATCTAACCATTGCCTTCGAGGCCCGCAAGCGCACTGCAGGCCCACACCGTGCGGGAGCACTCAACATTTCGCTTCCCTTCTCTTTCATTGACTTCTACCGCAAACAACGAGGCCACAACGTGGAGACAGCCCTGCGCAGGAGCAGGTGCGCCCAGGGTCAGGACTCCGGCGGCTAGTGTGGCCTGCCTTTGCAAGAGAGAGTCGTGTGCCCCAGGGACTAGAGAGGGAGGCCTGGACAGTTTCACATTTACACCGTGCCAGTGACAGGTGCCGGGACCTTGAGTACTGGGTGGTGAGGCAGGTCCACCAGGAGTCAGGAATTGGCAGTCCAATTAAGAGTTAAGAGTGTCATAAGGGACAGAGGTTGCAGATTTTATCTTCTCCCTGACCCACCCTGTTACTCAGTGTTCTTGGCTCCGCTATACTGGAGTAAGGGTCAGTCGTTGGTGATCTCCTGAATGGGCCGAGCAGACAGCAGAGTGGGGTTGGGGATAAGGGCAGGTGTCCACCCTTCGTACACAACGTGAGGACCCCTGACTAGAAGCTGCAGCAAACAGCCGAGCTGACCCGTGGATTTGTGTGTCCCCTTCACCACCCACAGTGTGAACTTTGTGAAGTGGTCCTCACAGGGGATGCTCCGGATGTCCTGTGAGGCTATGAATGAGCTGTTCCAGCCCACAGTCAGTGGGATCATCCAACACATAGGTGAGTGCCTGGATGCCCCATTCATCATCAAATTCAGGTTCAGAAATAATTCCTCTCCTCTATGTCTGTAACCACACATGCTTTGGGGTAAAACCTAGAATCATCTGTATTACCTGGAGCAAACAACTCACGGTGATTAAGGAATTGTTTATAGTCCTGCCAGGTTAAAGAAGGCCTGGTGCTTCTGTCTCCCCATTTTGTAAGTGGACTGAATGAGCTGATGGTGTGTAGAGTAGACAGGCTGTCCTGAGCGGTGTAAATGCGATCCTGATTCTCTATTCTTCATGGGATGGTAGCAAAGGAGTGGGGTGTTTGGGGCCGGCAGGACCAGTGAAGAACGCCAGGAACCTTCAGTGGAAGTGCTATTTTCCATTTAATGCTGTCAGAGTACCGGTGGGGCCGGGCATAGTGGCACATTCCTTTAATTCCAGCACTTGGGAAGCGGAGATGGGCGGATCTCTGTGAGTTTAAGGCTAGTCTGATCTACAGTTACGGTTTGTTCCAGGGCAGTCAGGGTTCTATCTGCATAGAGAAACCCTGTCTCGAAAAACCAAACCCCCCTCAAAAAAAAAAAAAAAAAAAGGTACTGGTGGGGGTGCAGAAGAGCCACTTACCATGAAATAGTCTTAGTGACTCTCTCCTTCTCTCTCTTCCTGAACCCTGTCCCTGTCCCTGCCCTGCAGAGACGTTGCTGGCTAGGCCTGAGGTACAGGGCGTGAAGTTGCTATTCCTGGTGGGCGGCTTTGCAGAGTCGGCTGTGCTGCAGCATGCGGTACAGACAGCACTGGGCACCCGTGGCCTGCGCGTTGTGGTCCCGCACGACGTGGGTCTCACCATCCTCAAGGGAGCAGTGCTCTTTGGCCAGGCGCCCGGTGTGGTGCGGGTGCGCCGCTCCCCTCTCACTTACGGCGTGGGCGTGCTCAACCGTTTTGTGCCTGGTCACCACCCACCTGAGAAACTGCTGGTTCGGGATGGGCGCCGCTGGTGCACTGATGTCTTTGAGCGCTTCGTCGCAGCAGAGCAGTCGGTGGCCCTGGGAGAGGAGGTGAGGCGCAGCTACTGCCCTGCGCGCCCCGGCCAGCGGCGTGTGCTCATCAATCTGTACTGCTGCGCTGCGGAGGACGCACGCTTCATCACTGACCCTGGCGTGCGCAAGTGTGGCGCACTCAGCCTGGAGCTTGAACCTGAAGGCTGCCCGGAAAACACAGGCACGTCCCCCAACCGCCGTGAGATCCGTGCTGCCATGCAGTTTGGTGACACCGAGATTAAGGTCACTGCTGTAGATGTTAGCACTAATCGTTCTGTACGGGCGGCCATCGACTTTCTTTCCAATTAAGGGTGCCCCTTTTGGTGGGGACAGAAGAACATGCTAGTTTTCACAGTGGCGCCCCTTTCTCCCCACCCTGAGAGAAATGTGGTAACATGGAGACTCAACTCGCGTTGGGATTGGGCCTTGGTCTACTGATTGGAACACTAAAAGAACGCCAAGAGGTGAGGTGGTATAAGAGACTTCGAAGGTTAGAGGGTGAGCCTGGCTTATAAGTGTATGACCACGAAGATAGACTACAACAGGGGACTAAACACTGGCCTGAACTTGAGGGTTGAGGGGAAGGTTAAGTAAAATTGCTGAGGAGCCGCGCGAGGTGCAGAACCTGGGCCTGAAGGTTAGAGTTCGCTAACTGTTGAAACTATGGAGTTCTAGCCACAGGAAGCCAGAGAGCAGTTTCATGCAGGGGTGAGGGTTTAAGTCTATGCTAAAGGGTCGGATGTAGTAGGAGCTGGCTGTGTGACTGTTAATTGCAGAGCAGTGGCTGACGGGAGGAGGGTGCATTGTTACAGTGAAGGCAGTTTGGAGGGGATGTGAACATAGCATGCTCAGAGGGACCCCTGGGCAGCCTAGAAATGACTCATTTGCCACCAACCCAGCCACAGAAGGACAGAGTTCACTGGGGGGAGGAGGAGGGGGTGCCTCAGCTCTGCCACTTCATCACTATAGTATACCATTAGGAAATCTGATCAACTATGGGCCTCAGTTTCTCCAAGTGTGAAATGTCAGACACTTCCAGCCAACCATGGCATAGGACACCCCTACCTGCCTGAGAACTTACCCTAGGTGAAAATAAAGCATCTGTGGTCAAGAAAAGCAATAATTGTCTAGAACCACCAGAGTGGGGACCCCCACAAGTGGGAGTAGTGTGTGAGGTACAAGTACCAGAGAGAAGAGAGACCGTTTTCAGCTGCACAGATGTAAGGGACCTGGCAAGGAGCTGTTGCTTTCTCCCTGTCTGGCATCAGAGGCCCTGAAGACTGCTTTATCCTAGGCAGGAGGCACCTCCCCACCCATATTAAGCAAAGAGTCCCAGGCCTAAAAGGCATCCATCCCCTTGTGGTGCCAGTGCTGCAGTATTGTGCAATGCCTCTTCCTCCTGATGGAGCTGGTCCATCTGTGAAGGGTAAGGTCGTCTGCCAACCCGAGAACAAAATGACCCCACCGGTATCTACTGGAACTTTTGTTTATTAAGGTCTCTATCCCAACCAGTCATTTAAAAACCAAGTACCACAGACCTGAGGGGTAGGAGCTGGGAACTGTACCTCCTCACCACATGAAGAGCAGTGGGGACGATGGAGGGGCAGCAGAGGTGGAGACGGGGAGACGACAATAGCAGCAGCAATGGGGCATCAATGTCACAGAGACAGAGCCACTCCGTTCTCTCCCAGTCCCTAGCTAGAACCCCCTATGGCTTGGGGCGGAAGAGGTAAATCCCACCCCAGGTCCCTCCTCTCAGAGAGTCTCCTTGGGACTCAACCCATTTCTTCAGTCAGGAGACTCAGGCACATGGGAGAGGAGGAAGTGGGAGAAGAGACCACAGGAGAGGCAGGATGGTGGCAGGAATGAAGGCAGAAGTGGGGGGCACCAGCAAGGTCTAGCCCTGCCACGCCCACCCAGGGGAGAGGTGAGGAAGCCACACCATCACGCAGCACGTCGGGAAGCAGGAGGAATTTAAGGCTCAGGGGCTCAGGCAGGCAGGCAGGCAGGCAGGGCCCAGGCCTCAGTCGAAGCCGTGCCAGTCGCTCTGTTCCGAGTCGTACTCCAGCTCGGCGCCCACACACTTGACACCATCCAGTAGCATGGGTGTACCATGGTGCCGGTCTGCAAGGCAGGGGCCACAAGTTAGCGTGCTGGCTGTGTCCTGGTACCACACAAGGTTTGTTCCACAGGAGCCTCTTCCTCCCATTGGCTGGGGGTCCAGGAGGGGACCCTGTCAAGGAGATTTTAGAACCCCCTGCCATCTTCAAGGATCTCTTGAAGCCAGTCTCATGCCTCCTTCGCCCAGCCAAACCTACCCTGCTCTCACTCACCCATGACCCGTGCCTGCACCATCACACGCACGCAGGTGCCTGGGTCACCTTCGCAGGCAAGTAACATCTCCTCTTTGAGGACGCCCTCTTTGTGTGCTGAGTACTCACACTTGATGCTGTAACCTGCTGGAGGACAGGGAAGGGCAGGAAATCGGTACCTCCCATAGCTCCTCTATATTGTCCCCAGCACTCACAGTCCCCCACCCAGTAAATCTTGCTGAGCCTCTTCCAGAAAGAAGCCCAGATGGTCCCTCCAGAGACCCAGCCCCACAAAGCTGGCCCAGAACTTCAAGAAGCTTCCTATTCTTTCAAATAAGGTCCATGTGTCTCTGGCCTGAGAACGCATCATGGCTCTAAAGGTGGAAGGACAGGGTCCAGTTCATCCTTCTAAGAAAAGTCCCCCTGGTGCCACACGGGAAGGCGGGAAGGTGACAGAGAACAAGGAGTGAGCTCCGAGCAGCTGGGGTGGCCAAAGGAAAGGACTTTCCCAGTTCCCTGAAGGGCAGGCCGTTAGGAAGCAGCAGTGGTGGGGACACAGAACTGAGGCTGGAGCTCAGCAGCACACCCCAAAACTGACAGTCTGGTCTCTGCCAGGTTGAGAGTAGGAGCAGGACAGGACCAGAAGCCAGCTGTACAAGCAGCCTAGAAGCCAAGGCCTGGAACTAGTAGGTACTAGGCATTAGCTCCTACAGCTCCAGTCTCTTTACCCAGAAAGATGAGAGGGAAGGCTGGGGGCCCACAGACAGTTCTCAGTGGCTTCCATCTCTGGGACCTCTCCACTGAAGGTACCATCAAGCAGTGGGCAGGTGCAAACCTGCAGTGTGTGTTAACGGAATGGGCTTCTCTGTCCAAAACTAGAGGCCTGGGGCTTGAACTGCTGTGCCCCCATACTGTAAGCTCAAGGAGCTGCCATGGCCCTGACTGGCTGAGCCGCCTATTCACCCGACTAGGGAAAGGGCAAAGAACCTCATGCTCTCATGCCACTCACAGCAGGCCCTCCTGGGGAGGGCAGGCCTCTAGCAGCCGGAGGGGACCTACCTTCAGGGATGGGAGTGACGCTGAGGAGCCTGAGGTGCAGGCTGTGGGCAGGGGCCTCACGGATGTCTCTGCTCAGCCTGCGCACTGGAGGCAGAGTGAAGGTAATCTCATACCTGTGCTGGATCTTCAGGAAGCCAACCTGCAGTGACAAGGGGAAGGAGAGAGGCATCTTCGTTGCTGCTTCTCCTGGGCGTCAGGGTACGCTGCCTAGGCTCCTGGAGGGCCCCAGCATCTGCTGCCCCAGGGTTCCCAGCTCTTGTTACTCTTCAGCTGTTTCACCCTCATGGCTCCAGGCATTCCCTGAATCTGTCTCAGAGGCCCCACAGGCCTCAGTGGTCAGTTTTCTAGGTAAGAATATAGAAGTCAGGAAGTGACTGCCTAGAGGTCACATTGTGAACTACAGAAGTCTTCCTAGACCTCTTGGTCACTTCGGTCCTGTGTGGCACACAGCAGGAAACCAGTGTCAGGGAGGGAAAGCTTAACATCCAGCCCTGTCCAGATCCAGCAGCCAGTGTCAGGGATGCTGGTGCTTTCGTTACTTGACAACATGGGATTGGGAAGAGGATGGAACTGGAGAAATGGACACTAGGGTTTGGGTAGAGCTCAGTGGTAGACTATGTACTCAACACATGCGAAACTCTGGTTTTGATCCCAAAAACCAAACAAAACCCACAGGAAAGCAGCTGTGAGAGTCTACAGCAGGCCACAAGCCAAATATTAACCATTCAGCCTATGATCCTGTCGGGTGACACATGACAATGGATGCCTGCCTACCTGCCCACTCAAAGGTACCACGTGACCAGTGACCTCTGCTCGTGGTCCAAGCAATTTCTGTTGTCCAGATACACTGCTTGGCCAGCCAGTGCTGTCCCTCTGGGACAGATGCCTCGGGAATTTTGGTGTGAAGGGTCAGAAGCTGAAACGGCTGCCGTCCTAAGAGCCTCCTGAGCCAGGCACAGTAGTTCCCGTCTGCTCCCGGCACTAGAGAGCCCGAAGCAGTAGGACTTCACAAGTTTGAGGCCAGTCCAAGCTTCCCAGTAAGTGCTAGTCTAGCCTGGCTACACTCTCAAAACAAAGAGCTGGGCATATAGCTCAGTTGGTAGAATGCCTGTCTAGTGCATGACCCTGGGTTTGACCCCCAGCACCAAATCAAATCAGGCATGGTGGAGCATACCTGTAACCCCAGCACTCTAGAGGTAGGGGCAGTAGGACCAGCAGTTCAAGGTCATCCTTGGCTACACAGCCAGTTCAAGGACAGCTTGGAGTACATGAGACCCTGTCTCAAAAAAACAAAACAAAACAACACATTTTTCTTTTAAATTTGGGCTTTTGTTTTTCATTTATTGGGGGTGAAGGGTGGGTTTAACACACATGTATTATGGAGGTCAGAAGACAATTTGCAGAAGTTGGTGCTAACCTTCCACCATGGTTCCAGGGACCAAACTTAGGTAGCCAGGCTGGGCTAATACCTTCACCTGCTAAGCCAAGTCTCTGGCCCTCAAAAAAATTCAGGTCTAGGGGCTGGAGAGATGGCTCAGTGGTTAAGAGCATTGCCTGCTCTTCCTAAGGTCCTGAGTTCAATTCCCAGCAACCACATGGTGGCTCACAACCATCTGTAATGAGGTCTGATGCCCTCTTCTGGCCTGCAGACAGAATATTGTGTACATAATAAATAAATAAATATTAAAAAAATTCAGGTCTAAACCAGCGGTGGTGGCGCACGCCTTTAATCCCAGCACTCGGGAGGCAGAGGCAGACGGATCTCTGTGAGTTCAAGGCCAGTCTGATCTACAAGAGCTAGTTCCAGGACAGTCTCCAAAGCCACAGAGAAACCCTGTCTCGAAAAACAAAACAAAAACAAAACAAAACAAAAATTAATTAATTAATTAATCAAAATAAATAAATAAATAAATAAAAATTCAGGTCTAGTGAGCTGGCACAGTGGGTTAAAGGGTGCTTGCCACTGACCTGACAACCTGAATCTGGCTCCCAGAACCCACATGATAGAATTGACTCTTGCAAGTTGTCCTCTGCCTCCACATGTATCTTATGGTACACCTCCCCCATACCCCCAAATAAATTTGAAAAAAAAATTTTAAGGCTTTCTGGGAGCTGGTAAGCTAACTCAATGGATAGAGGCACTTGCCACAAAGGCCTTGGCCGTGAGTTGAGTACAGGATGAAGGTGGAAGGAGAGAACGGACTCCACGAAGTTGTGCCCTGACCTCTACATGTGCACTACGGCACACATAGTGTGGCGCGCGCACAGTAATCATTTTCAAGACTTTCTGGCTACACTTGTCTGTTGTGACCTGGGGCCCAGCTGTGGCACTTGCAGAATCTGCCAGGGAACTACTCAGAGATGATAAGACAATGCTGATCAGCACCTCATTTATAACAGAAATGGAAATAACAGGAACACCCAGGGACACAGAAGCAGCCATGACATATGCCAAATACCAGATGGGGGTGAAATCTGATTGAAAATTATTTCCTAACAGGCAGGAAACAGTTTGCAAACAGAAACAAGGAAAAACTACCATGCCCGCTGTGATACCAGCTCTTGGAAACAAAGCTTTGAAAAAAGTGCACTAAAATAGTCACCAGGGTCACTTTTGGGTGGTGTAACTATGACTATGGCTACATTTAACTTTCCTGATAATTTTTTTAGTGCCTTTATTTTATTTATTTCCCTGAGAGCCATCAGCTGCAGAAGAGAGAATAAACAAAGACTTTAGCATTGGAC